CCAGTAAGTTCTAATTCACCCACACATCTGTAAAGTAATAGAGTTAAATGTTAAGCCCACAGGAACCCTTTCAAAGATGGGTGTCCACCTAAAATGTATACGCACTTTAACAGCGGATAGCTCAATTTTGAAAATGAAATGTATTTTAATAAAGACTGCCTTTATAATTATTCAAAGCGTGTGTACATTTTGGGGGGACACCCTATATTGCACGCAGTTGGCCTTCTGGAATTACAGTCGGGAACTCTGCTACAGGCTGACTCTCCAGAGAGAGATCTGTGGTGGGGTCATCCTAGGAGAACTGAGTACAGGGAGGTTTCTTTAGCTTCATGCTGGTTCTCCATGATCATGCCTTTCTCAGCATACAATCTTTTGGTTATATAATGTGCATGTTCTTTTTTTAAAAAAATATTATTTTATTGATTTTTTTAGAGAGGAAGGGAGAGGGATATAGAGTTAGAAACATCGATGAGAGACAAACATCGATCAGCTGCCTCCTGCACACCTCCCACCAGGGGTGTACCCGCAACCAAGGTACATGCCGTTGACTGGAATCAAACCCAGAACCCTTCAGTCAGCAGGCCGATGCTCTATCCACTGAGCCAAACTGGTCAGGGCTAATGTGCATGTTCTTAATTCTTCCTGTCATTACCCCTTTACAATTTTTCTAGAGGACTATATTTGCTGCTGTTTTCTTGAAATCCTCTTAGGATAATGTCCCATAGTGATATTTCATAAAGTCTACAAAATTAAGCTTTTAATGTTATAGCAATGCCTCTGTTGCTTTTGACTCACTGATTACAGCAGTAAGAAATTTAAAGCTCAAAATGAAGAGGAGGATGCAATTCCCCATCTGATTGCCTGTGTGATCTGTGCCTTGTTATTTCTGATAAGAAAGCTTTGATGTCTACGGCTGTGAAATTTCTATCCTGTGATATTTGTTACCATGCTGGGAGGTATCATCTTTTGGTTACCCTGTAATGTAAGTGCCTGACATTAAGCTTTTTGATTGTAGTATGAGCGCTTGACATTTTAAGTTTTTTACTGCCAAGGCATCCATTTCCGAAGGCATCCATCCTGAATAAACGTATGTATGACAGCTACCAGCAAAACAACCACACAAGGAACTAGGCTGCCCCCACTCATGAAGTTCACTTTTCCAGAAAGCCCTGGGTAACCTGGATAACTGGCCACTTGAGTAGCCCCATTTCTCTCTTCCTGCACCCTAACTCCCTTTCTTATTATTTAAATTAGCCAATAGAGTGAATCCATAAAAACGTAGGCACCCCACCCTAGAACCCTAACAAAGGCAGAGCTCTAGGTCTGTGCTCTCTCCCATGCCCCCAAACTTGCTGTGCCCCGTGGGCTTGCTGGGTACCCTCAAGGACCTGTGAGTGATAAATCTTGCTCCTCAAAGTTCCCTGATGATTTTGGTGCAGCGCATCCTGCAGCCATAATAGAAAGCCTGGGGCTGGTCCTGCCACTACATTAACCTCCCCCCAAGCCCCTGCCCCAAAGTGGGGTAAATGTCTGTGCCGGCTCACCACAAGTAATCAGGCCAAGCAAGTACCTCGGGCAATCCTAGCAGACAGCATCACCATCAGCAGGCGGAGAGCCACGCGACAGTGATACTGCCACACTCTGTTCCTGGGAAGTAGTATCTTCACTGTTCTCTGGTTGCCCCAGTCAGTTAAATGCAAATAATCTTTTTCTTTTGTCTTTGCTAATAATACTTATTGCATCTTTATTTTCTATTGTATTAATTTAAATTTCTTGAAACAATCTTAAAGTTACAGAAAAAGTCCAAAATGCAGTACAAATAATTATTTTCCTTAACTATCTCAAAGTAAACTGGAAACACAATGTCCCAACACTCCCAAAATACTTTAAGTATTTTCTACAACAAGGATATTCTCTTATATAGCCATAATACGACCACCAAAATCAGGAAATTAACACTGACACTTCACTACTGTCTAACCTTAGACTCCATTCTAGCTTCACCAGCGTCTCAAGATCTTTGTCCTTTACACCGAAAGGATCCAGGAAAACCTTGCGTTGGATTTAGCTGTCATGTCTCCTTAGTCTCCTTCAAACTGGAACTCTTCCCTCGATCCCCTACTTTTGAAGATTATAGTCCACTTATTTTCTTAGAAAGTTCCTCAATTTGGATTTGTCTGGTGTTTCCTCATGATGAGATTCAGATTACAGAGTTCTGGCTGAGTAATACAGAGTGATATCAGGTGGCACACAACCAGGATTTGTACTGTTCCTAATAATATTCACATTGATCAGCTGCCAGGCTTCTCCATGGTCAAGTTACTCTTTTCTACTTTAATTAATAAAGACATTGTGGGAGGTACTTTGAAACAACGTACAGTCAATTCTTATTATTTGTGGTAGTTATGTTCTAAAAAGTTGCCATGAACATTTAATTAGTGAATATCATAACATTGCTCCTAGAGGAAATACAGGGTTAGGTTCCTATGTGCAACATTTTCATCAAATGATCAATACATAACTTGTTTTATACATGTTTCTGTGTCGGGACACCATATATATTGAACTTGAGGCCAATGGTGCTATAACTCATGGCTGAATGAAGCTTATCTAACACATATTTTCTCCATAAGGCACACTGTAGTCTGCTTACACTTAGGAACATTACACAACACTTCATTACCACACCTGGGATCATTTTAAACAGTACAGTCACCAACAAACAGCATAAAAATGCAAAATGTGGCCATTAAATACACACACACACACACACACACACACACACACACACTTCTATTCCAAAACACTATGGAGAGTACATTCTAATTATCTCCTTAAACCTAGCTAGCTCCCATTATCCTTAATATTAGGGCAAACCTATAAGAACAACCTTCTGCAAGTAACCAATCTTTTGCTGCTGTCCTCTTCTCTGCACCCTCTCAGACACATCCTCCTCACCCTGCTCAGCTCTGACAGCCTGTGCCAGATCAGCCCTCCGCGAGAATGCCCATTTTACCACATTTGGGTTGTCAAAGCCTGCACCACACCACTGCCTCCTTCACAAGAACACGCTTCTTCCTCCCCCAGCTCTGGCCCTGCAGCTCCCTACTTCTCCAAGTGAGACGCCTGCATTGTTCAGCACCTCCTTATGTCTTCTGAACTCAGCTGTTCCGGAAAGGTAGAAAAAGGGGAAGGACAATGCAAACAATTCCGACAGCTGAATTCTCTACTCACTATCTCCTTAGTATCTTTAAGTATTTTAAAATACACAGATCATATAGGCAATTTAGATCCTTAAGTTTGGCCAATAACTTCTTTATTTTTAAGTAAGTGTTTATTGATTTTCAGAGAGAGGGAATGAGAGGGAGAGAGTGATAGACACAACAAAAGATGAGAGAGAATCATCGATCCACTGCCTCCTGCACACCCCCGACTGAGGATCAAGCTCGAAACCCGGGCAAGTGCCCTGACCAGGAATCGAACCATGACGTCCTGGTTCATGGGTTGATGCTCAATCCCTGAGCCACAACAGCTGGGCAATTTGGGCCAATAACGTAAAGAAGTTAAATCAATATGTTGTGGCAGAAGTATGGTGTAAATGTCCTTTGACCTTTAAGCAACTCCATTCTTTTAGAGCCTTGGTAATTTTCCTTTGGTTGGTGAGTCTGCCTGTTCACAGTAGTCATTGTTTTATACTATTAGTAACACAATTTTTGTGCTCAGTGGATACTAGTTGCAGTAGGAAACTGTATATGTATTTGCTGTCATCTTTTGACCTTGTACAGTAATTCCCCCCTTATTCGAGGTTCTGCTTTCTTCAGTTTCAGTTACTTGCAGTCAACCTCCATTCAAAAATATTAAATGGAAAATTCCAGAAATAAACAATCCCTGAGTTTTAAACTGTACACTGCCGGTGCCATCCCCTTCCTCCCAGGACATGAGTCTTCCCTTTGTCTGTCATATCCACGATGTACACGCTGCCCACTCACTAGTCACTTAGTAGCTGTCTTGGTTATCAGACTGACTGTCACATTGTAGTGAGTATGTTCAAGTAACCTTGATTTTACTTAATAATGTCACACTCATGTAACTTTTATTACAGTATATGGGTATAATTGTTCTATTTTATTACTGTTGTTAATCACTTATTATGCCTAATTTATAAATTAAACTTCATCACAGGTGTGTATCTGTAGGAAAAAACAGTATACATAGGGTTCACTACTATCCAGTTTCAGGCATCCACTGGCGCCTGTGGTCTTGGGGCAAATCCCCCGCAGAGAAGGGGAACCGCTGTGTCTATAATACAGGAATCAGGCAGCTTTTGACAGGGTGGTGGAAATGTGCCCAATGACCAACAAATACAGGAACGGTTTTGTTAGGATTGTAGATAAATAGGTAACTTTATGGCTTCTAGAATTTTTTCAATGTTATATTTCCAGTAAAAAAAAATTCTTAAAAGGCCCATAATTACAAATGAGATCATAATTTCTTTCTCCTATGAAAAACAGTTGATTTCCTTCATGCCATCAGGAATATGTCACTCTTTCTCCATATTTACATTATCTGCCAACAATGATTGTTGCTACTGTTCGTTTTACCTTCAGAGGCTCTAGAACAGGGATAACAGACACGTGGCCACACCTCCAGCCCCACACCGACTTCTGTACCTGACCGAAGTTCACCAGCAGAAGGAAACCCTGATCTAGAGCATACGCTCCAGGAACCAGGCACCATACCTATTTATCACCTCATGACTCCACGTCCTGGCTCATGGATGAAGGGAAAGGGGCATACTTGAATAAATATGACACTGGCAAAGGGGCTTGGACCTGGTTTCCTTTCATTTCTATCCCTCTCTGTTTATAGATAGCATTCTAGGTGTCCTTTTTTTAATTTAAAAGAATTCAAACCCCTCCATATGAAAGCAGACTATTCTCATTAGAAACTGTGAACAGAGTAGTCACTGATTATTTCTGGCATAAAAGGTAACACACTACCTCTGCACGCGGTACACTCGAGTCCATGGAGGCACAAGGGCAAGGATCCGAGCCACCAATTCGATCAGGTCACTAGGCGAATAACTCTTATAGCGTCCTGATTTCCACAGCTCATAAAGCCCAGTTCCACGAATCACCAGGGTCGGGTAAAGTTTTAAACCATCGGGACGAAAAGCAGGGTTCTCAAAAAACTCCTGTGAATAGAGAACAGAAGATTATTTCTCCATTAGTTACGTAGAGATTACACATGCAAAGTTTCAAACCTGGGCCAGCGTCTCTCACATACCTGCCTGGTCCTTAGAATGCCTTTCCTTTCCACCGAAGGAGGGGATGCAGACAGAACAGGAATCCATTGTTTTTATGGCCTCACTAGGGCAAAGCATGTTTGCTGGACCCAAGGCCCTCATCACAGCCCCTGTCCACTGCTGCAATGTCACCGCACGCCACTCTCACCACCTTGCCTTTTCGCCCCTACACAGGCAATTTTCTCTTCCTGGAAAGTCCCTCAATTTTTCTTCATCTAGCTAATCTTCAGGCCTCGGCTTAAATGTCAGTTCTTCAGAGAGGCCTTCCTGACCTTCAAATATAAACTGCCTGACTTAAAAAAAAAATCCTATCGAGTTCTTTATTACCACTTTCTTAACATCATCATACTGACAATTTATCCAGTGCCTACCTTCACCGCTAGACTGTATAATCTTTTAATAATGAAACGTATTGTGCCAGAGATCACCATCTGGCCTGCAAACCTAAAATGTTTACTATATGGCCCTATGCAGAAAGTGTACCGATCCCTGGATAGGACTATTTTGTCCTCAGACCAACTGGCACCATTCCTAACCTGGGACATACACTCTCCATTTGTTATCTGGACACTGAGCGATACATCTAATTCATCTACTGTGACATAGCCATTTCCTGTACTATATCATCCCAGCTGGCTGCCTTATTTCTTTATTTGGGATGTAGCAGGAAAACATAAGGCAGTCTCCCTTCCACGACTCTGCACTCCTAATGTGTTCTTATCTTGATTTTGCAGGATATATGGTGGAGGAATGAAGGTGGACTCATACAGTTCCCTTCACCCCCACCCTAGCTTTAGCATCTATTCAGCCAGCGGTACCGTATCTTCTGAACTGTAAAATGCTTTTTATCTTGTGCTCTGTTATTCCTGCAGAGCTATCCATTATTTAACTTGCTTTACAAAGAAATGTAACTGCAGGGTATTTGATCTCTCTCACCGATTTGTCATATTCTTAAAATGCTATATTCTTTGTGCACACTTTGGTCTTAAAGATATTTCCCTGTAATATTTATATAGTAAAGATTCATCAGGTCTTTAATAAATATTCTATAGCCATCCACAAAGAGCATGCATGCAAGTCATTCTCTTCCTAGTTTGATTCCGTACTGAAACATGGGGTTTCAGAAAAGTACTTCTGAAACTTGTATAATAAATTTAGGAGATATATGGGCTGACATACTCCTTTAAAAAGAATAATAGGTAAAATTGGTTCTAGATTTCTGATTAAACACTAAGAATTTAAATATGTGTTTCTTTCCTTCCAAAACCATGCTAAATTTTTGTTTTAATTTTAAATTTTTAAAATTGATTTTAGAGAGAGGAAGGGGAGAGGGGGGAGAGAAGGGGGGGGAGGGAGAGAGAGAGAGAGAGAGAGAGAGAGAGAAACATCTATCGGTTGCCTCCGCACACGCCCCAACCGGGATGGAACCTGTATCCTGGGTATGTGTCCTAACCGGGAATCAAACCCGCCACTTTTTGGTGTGCAGGATGATGCTACAACCAACCAAGGTCTGGAAGACCAGCCAAGGCCTTCCAAACCATGCTAAAACAACAGGAAATAATACAGTTTTTTAAAGTATAAATCAAAGGAGACAGGAGGGGAACAGGTGATGGCAATACATTTTTGAAAGACGGAAAATGGATGGAAGATTGGTAAATGACTTTGCCAGTGACGTGAACTGCAAATAAAGTATCTGTAAAGTGGGACAGATACTAATGAAAGGCCAGCTCAGTCACACCCGAGTCCCAGAAAGGTTCATGGATCACAAGTACCAGGAACTGGGCAGGTGGGAGTGAACACTTGATCAAAATCTGTACATGAAGGGATTTATCCCTTTCCTTATCCCTTATCACCTTCCTACAGGCAGTCGCCTGATTTTCGCTGGAGATACTGGAAAGCCTCTGGACTCTGAGATTCCAGGTACAAAGGAAGGCCTGAGTGAGGACCCAGAGTGAAAACAGGGAGATGAAGTGAAGGCCAGCACGCTGACTGGTGGACTCCCTGCTGCAATTTTCTGTGATGTGTGCACAACACCCACTCCCAAGGAGGAAGCTGGAGAGTTATCTCCGGATCAATTAAATGGCTCTAAATAAGAGCTCCATATACTGACATTTGGAAATTCCCTAAAGAAAGGAGAGCACATTACATGAACATCCTTCAGTGAGGCATACTGGCAGCTAGCTACATAGAGCTTGCAATCTGGTTTTTAAGCCCCTCACTTTCAAAGTATGACCATTTGGCTAAGGATCACTAGAAACTAGAAGCCTAGAACATAAAAAGCAGACCAAAACAAAGAGAGAAAAAGGAATTGGGGGGAAAGCAACGCATAAAGGAAAATAAAACATAAAGAAAACAACTATAATAATTCCACCAGAGAGATAAGAAAAGACTTATTTATTAATCTGTAAAACAAGGACAAGATACTAGAGAAATCAAACAGCCAGCATAAAAGAAAGAACTCTTAGAAATGAAAACTATAACAAAAATCATTTAATAGGAAGGCTGAAAGATAAAGGTGAGAAAATAAGAAAGCAGAAAAAAAGGCAGATAAAACTAGAAAAGAATTTTATATGATCAGTCTGGGAAATCCAACATTTCTTAGTAGGTTTTAGAAAAAGAACATAAAAAAATGAAAGGGGGAACATTATCCTGTACAGTTGGCTCTTGTATCTGAGGATTCTGCATTTACAGATTAAAAATATTCAGAAAAAAATGTTATGTTGTTACTGACAGGTACTGTATTGTTAGGCCTACAATGGTTGCATCTGTATCGAACACGTACAGACTTTTTTCTTGTCATTATTCCCTAAACAATACAAATATAACAACTATTTTCATAGCATTTACATTGTTAGGTATTATGAGTAATCTAGAGATGATTTAAAGTAGATGGGAGGATATGTGCATGTTATATACAAATACCACACAAAATACATAAGGAACTTGAGAATCTGTGGATTTCATTATCTAGAGGGGTTCCTTGAACCAATCCCTCAGAATACCAAGGGAGCACTATAATACAAAGAAAATTCCCAATGACAGGGTCCTTTAATATCAAACACAATTAATTTTAAAACTCTTGCCAAAATATACCTCTGTGAAATTGCACTACATATGGGATAAAGAGAACTTCCTAAAATATCTGTGTGGAAAAAAAAACAAATTACATACATTATAGGATTCAGGAATAAGGAATATAAGATTAAGAACAATATTGTGGTTTTTAATAAAACATAGGTTTGTTGGCTATTTGAATTTCCTATCTGTGAAGTATCTATCTGTTCAAGTTTTTCTGCTTATTCTCCTACTGGGCTATTTGTTTTTTCTAATTGATTTGTAGAAATTATTTCTTTTAAGGCAATTTATAAATTAATTTTGCAGAAAATTTTTCTTTAGGGAGGAATTAGATTTCTCATTTTAGCTCTTTTGTCACTCATTTGCTAGGATGCAGGTAGGAAAGGTATATGGTCTGCTCATATTCCCTGTAGGTTTCTCTCAAGATTACAAACAAGCAGATAAATCTATTTACATGAAGGACTGTCTTTGCAATATTATTATTAAACTATTCTTTACAGTAGTTGCCCCCCTTATCTGTGGCTTCCCTTTCACTTACCCACAGTCTGAAATTTTAATGATCTGAAAATATTAAATGGAAAATTCCACAAAACAATGCAATAAGCAATTCATAAGTTTTAAACTGCTTGCTGTTCTGAGTAGTGTGATGCCATCTCTCGCCAAGATATGACTCATCCCTTGTCCAGCATGTCCACTGTATACAATGCACTCCCATTCGTCACTTATTGGCTATTGCAGTTATCAGATCAACTGCCAGGTATTGCAGTGCTTGTATTCAAGTAACCCTTATTTTACTTAATAATGGACCCAAAGTGCAAGAGTAGTGATGCTGGCAATTAGGATGTGCCAAGAAGCTGTAAAGTGCTTCTTTTATATGAAAGATAAAAGTTCTCTACTTAATAAAGAAAAATAATCATATTCTGAGGTTGCTGAGACCTATCTGTGAAATTGTGAAAAAGGAAAAAGAAATTTATCCTGGCTTTGCTGTTGCACCTCATACTGCAAAAGTTAGGTCCACAGTGCATAATAAGTGTTTAGTAAAGAGAAATTTGTGGGTAGGAGATATAAACAGAATGATAGCAATGTGCAGTGCAAGAAAGCACTGGGGCTACACGAAGACTCCAGCAAGGGATCCCTTAAAATGAGTGACTAAAGCCACGGTGTGGCTCGGTTGGTTAGGGCATTGTCCCATGCACCAAAGGGTCTTGGGTTTGATCCCCTATCAGGGCGCATATGTGAGGCAACCAATCAATGTTTCTCTTTCACATTGATGTTTCGTTCCCTCTCCCTTCTCTTTCTAGAATCAATGAAAAACACATCCTTGGGTGAGTATTAAAAAAAATGAATGACTACATTCACATGACTTTTATTACAGCATATTGCTATAGTTGTTCTATTTTATTATTAGTTACTAGAGGCCCAGTGCACGAAATTTGTGCATGAGTAGGGTCCCTGGGCCTGGCTGGAAATCAGAGCCGATCTGTGGGGCAACCAGGGGACTCCCGCTGGCACCTGCCTTGGCCGGCCTGGCACCACCCACTTGCTGGTCCCACGCCCTGCTGCCGCTGGTTGCCTCCCACTACGGGGCGACTGGCAGGGCAATTGGGGAGGGGGAGAACCCCACTGGCACCTGCCTTGGCTGGCCTGGGACCTGCATGCTGGGGGCAGCTCCTGCAACGAGTGTCTGCCCCCTGGTGGTCAGTGCACGTCATAGTGACCAGTTGTTCTGCTGTTCCATCGATTTGCATATTAGACTTTTATTATATAGGATTGTTAATCTCTTACTGTGCCTAATGTATAAATTAAACTTTATCACAGGTACGTATGTGTAGGAAAAAACACAGCACATATAGGGTCCAGTACTATCTGCAGTCTTGGAAGGTATCCCCTATGGCTAAGGGGGAACTACTATATTTTGAAGACACTAAGAAAATGAACACCAAGACTCAGATATTTGCTATTATTTGAAACATGACACATTTTTTCCAAAGGCACTTAAAGTTATGAATGCAGGCTATCCCACTTGCCCACCTAGGAACTGTGTTCAAGAAAAGTGTGTTTCAGGTGCCTTTTAGGTTTGGAGTCTGAGTTCCTGGCTATTAACTACTGAGGGGGTATCAGCTTCAAAATCTATTACACAGCCAATAAGGGGGATCAGTAACAGTGACATCTGTGAACTAATGCTGTCTTATAAATAGGCTTTCAGTTGTAATTCACTGGCTTAAAAATAATAAACTTTTTAAAAGGAAAGAATTATTAACTTCACAAATAAGGCATGGTAAATTCTATCTTTTATAAACAGAGCAAAATAAAAGTATTTCTGCGGATGAAATAACTTGATAAATATTTTCATCATCTTCTCTAAAAGGTTATCCCTAAGACATTCTCTGTCTATGGATCTGAAGAAAAGTTTTGACCAATCTCGTTTCCCAAAACAAAGCTAACATGGATTAAGTTAACATATGATAGAGTAAAAAGGAAAAACAAACAAACCACACAACCAAATCCCAGAACTAGGTATTAAAATTCAAATAACAGAAAAGTACAAGAAAACAGTATTTTCTTTCACTGATTAATGAAATTCTAGAAGAGAATGGCAGTTCTAACCTTAGAAGTGTCTAAAGGAATCATCAAGCAAGCAAGAAAGAGATCTGAAAACAGGAGCAAAAATAAAAGGCCAAAGATAGGGTGGGGAAAATATTTGTAAAAAATATAAAAAACAGTAAGTCCATAATGTCCTTACCTGGGTGTTCATCTAAATTAATATTAAAAATATTCATATCCAATAGAGTCAGAGGACAAAAACATACCAATTCCAAAAAGATGAATAAAGTATATTTATTAGATATAAATTTGAAAAATATATTACTATTATAAAATGCAAGTTGAAATAGCACTTTTATCCATCAGATTAGCAAATATAAAAATATTATATGTATATATACATATAGAAAATACATAAACAGGAGACAACTGTTTGGGAGAAAAGATAACCCTGCTGAAATGAGTGTAAATTGTTACAACCCTCTAAAAAGCAAATAAAAAAATATGATGATATTCTTAAAGTATTAATACTTTCACCTGATAATTCTACCCCAGGAAATTTATCCTAAAGAAATAATCCTGCCCAGCCTGTGTGGCTCAGTGATTGAGTCTCGACCCATGAACCAAGAGGTCACTAGTTTGATTCTTGGTAAGGGTACATGCTGAGGTTGCAGGCTCGATCCCCAAGACGGGGTGAGTATGAGGCAGCCGATGGATATTCTGCTCTCATATCACATTGATGCTTCTCTCTCTCTCTCTCTCTTCCTTCTCCCACTCCCCTTCCTCTCTCTCTCTCTGTCTCTCTAAAAATCAACAGAAATGTACTTTTTCTAAAAAAGAAATAATCCTAAATATTACACAAAGTTATAGGCATAAAATTGTTTACCTGAAGTGTTATTTACACTATCAAAAACTGGTATTATCTTCAATTTTTAAAAATTTGGAAGTGATTAAGCAAAGTATGGCATATTTATTCACTGGAAATTAAGCAGATATTTCAGTATAAACATTTTAACAGAGACCAGGCTATAACAGGATAAATGCCTGTTATAGTGTCAAGTGGAAAAGCTATTAAAAGAATGATTTATCATACATATAACTGTGCCTGTGTGTATACATGTATAAACCATCTCATCCCCCAAAAAACCTGAAGTCTAACAAAATCCTAAAAGGGAGTAAATGAAAATGTTAGGGCTTTATTTGGTGTTGGGCTGTGAGTGACCCCTCTTTTTCTATTGTGTTCCCACTACTCTATAATGGGAATGCACTGTCTTTTTATGGGAAAAATAATCAACAGTCAATAATAAAAAAGAGCAGAGGATAGAACATCGTGCAGAGGCCTTCTAAATTAGCCGGGTGTAAGGTGACACTTACTATAAACTGATCGATGTCTCTCTCGAGTCCCACGTTTGGCAGATCAGGCATCATATGAGCCACCACTTTGAAACCTGAATCTTTGGCCAGGTGGAATGACTCACAGACTGCCTTCACAGTGTGGCCCCTGAGGAGAGAAAACCCCTGTGTTACACAAATAAATGGGCAACAAGGTTAACACAAGGAACAGAGGAAAAACAATCTCTGAGACATGTATGAAGAATAATATAGTTGGGGGGGGGGGAATATCTCAGACAGTCATTTTTAATCTCCACCTCTGAGAAAGTCTGGAAGTAAATCATTTCTACTTATTTTTCAGATTTTTAAAAAAATTGATTTTAAAGAGAGAGAGGAAGGGAGGGAAAGAGGGAGTGATGGGGAGGAGAGGAGGCAAGGAGTGAGGGAGAACACTGATTTGTTGTTCCATTTATTTATGCATTCACTGGTTGGTGCTTTTATGTGCCCTGATCAGAGTTGGAACCCACAACCTTGGCATGGTGGGACAACACTCCAATCAACTGAAATGAGGCCAGGGCCTCATTTTTACTTTTGGGATATTTCTCAGAAATTCCCTTATGCACCCAATAAAGGTTCTGACACTAAAATTATTTGGTTTAGCAACAAAGGCAATATAAGCTTACCAATGTAAATATCTAACTTAGAAACCACATTAATGAGCTCAAAACCATGCAGAAGCAGCATCCTATTATTTCTTTTCCTTTTGAAATCTTTTGAAATGAGAGAGAGGGAGAGAGAGGAAGAGAGGAGACACACACATACCTATATACAAAACATATTTCTCTCTGCTGGGTTGGAGGGTCCTTTAAAAAGTGAGAAGACATAATAATTTAGTGACGAGGCAGAATCATTTGGGCCAGGTGGATCGATCATCTTACCATTCTAGTGCCCTAGGCAAGTAGGAAGCAAGCTCTACTAAGAGTTTGGAGCTACCGAAGACTGACGCCTGTGTCAATCCTTTCACCACCAAAACGTTCCCATTCACCACCAAGCAATCCTGGAGACCAGGGGCTCCGTCATACGCACTGATGGTCTCTTCCATTTCCATGGCTTCAACTTCTCACCTCTTTTTGCTAATAACCTCCCAATTAATGTGATTAGGCTGGACCTCTCTCCTGATACCACACCAGGATAGCCAATACTCTATAAAGCTGCACTGTGCAACACTGCAGTTCATTAGGGACATGTGGTTATTCAAGTCTATACTTAAATTAATTAAAATGAAAAATTCCATTCCTCAGTTGCACTATCATATTGGAAAGCGCAGGTAAATAACATTTTCATCATTACAGAAAGTTCTGTTGGACAGCCTTGCTCTAAAACAAGCTTCAACTGGATGTTCCACAAATATCTAACACTCAGTATATGTAATATGAAACTCATCTTTCCTCCAAGCCTCTTCTCCCCAGTCTCTCTTACCCTCATTTCCACTCAGTCACCAAACACTGTCATTCACTTTTCAGGGCATCATTTCTTGCTTAAATTATTGCAACAGCCTGTTAACTGGTCTTCCTTCTAGCTTCTTTTTAATCCATCCCCATACTGTGCTCCCCATAAAGTAATATTTCTAAAATGTAGATATGCTTGTATCACAACTTAGCTTACAACCTGTCCTTGGGTTACAGCCCAAACTTTGAAGGCTCCTCATAATTTGGTCCCTCTGGCTACCTTTTCAGTCTCACCTCTTACTACTTTCCTACCTCACTCTCTACACCTCTAACCAAACTAAACCACCCTGAATTCCCTAAATGTGTCATGTGCTCCCATCCTCAGCAGTTTGCGCATATTTTTCTTTTTGCCTGAAATAATTTTTCTCTTCCACATCTAAGTCATACTCTTCCTGTAAGTTAGATATCAGCTTAGATGTCCTTTTCTTCAGAAAGCTTCCCTAATTTTCAAGAGACTTTTCATCTCCACAGGTTCCTCTCTAGCACAGCTCTCCACTCCTGCAGCAGTCCCGCCAGTGCTCCTGGCGAGTCTTCCCCGACAAGAATGCATTCTATTTAGGTTAATCTTCTCAAGCCTGACACCCATCAGAGTCTTCCCTGTGCTCAAAAAGACTCAACAGACCTCTATTACCTATCAGAAAGACCTCACCCTCCTTAGCCTGGCATCCTTCTTGGTTGACTCTGAGATGCTGACCATGTATGTCTCCCTAGTTCCCCTTTACCTCCCTCTCCTAGCACAGCCCCCAATCACGTCTACACAAATCGAATTCAAGTAGCCTTTAAGGTCCAAATCAACACAAACCGACTCCCTCAAGCCTGCCTTCACCACCCTAGGTCAGTGATCAATGCTGATTAATAAACTCCTGAAATCTTTTTTTACTAATTTACCAATTAATCACAAAGTTCCTTCTACAGCTAACATTTCATCTGTACCTTTTCTCCTCAACTCAGTGATATTGTTCTAGAAGGAAGAGAACCTCACATGGCTCTCTCAACCTGTATTTCTTTCCTTCCTTACACCCCCAAATTTCTCAACGTTTATACCCATTACCTCACCAACCTTTCTCCCACTACCCTGTCAACTGGCATCTGCTTCACAAACACTCATCTCTCTTAAAACTCACCCTGACTTCATTTCTGTTCAAACTCTTTTCTTTGTTCCCATTCTCCTTTGCTTTCTCTCTTGCTTTAACTACTGACCTTGAGCCCTAACTTCTGCTAACCTTTTGGGAAGGTTGTTTATGACAAGACGAGGAAGAGATCTACTAAGCATGTGTATAGGCAGCTGGAAAAAGTCTGTAGACAAAGACTGAAAGTCAAGGAAAGAGGGGTAGAGCAGAGATAGAAGAATGAGTCTAAAAGGAGGAATGCCTACACCTCTTTCTTTAAGAGTGGTAGGAAGAAGGGAACATGGATATAACTGGTGGGAGAAGAGGAAGGCTTGTGCAAGAGCATTTGACATCATCTCACCTGTTGGTATCTCTGGCCACATCTTCGTAGACACTCTGCACCCCAATCTCCAGCCTGGTACAGCCATAGGTCAGCATGTCACTTAAATGCCGCTTCATGCAATAATCAGGTCTGGTCTCAATAGTAATTCCAATACACTTTGTGAGGCTCCTCTCAGAATACCTGTGGAGCAGATCCGGAAGTAAACCACCTGCCACAGCTTTAGGACTATGCTTCCATTTAAAGCAGTGGTTCTCAACCTCGGCTGCACATTAGAATCACCTGGGAATCTTTTTAAAATCCTGATTTCTGGGCCTCATCCTCCGGAAATTTTGTTTCTTTGTTACTAATGTTGTGGCCCCACCCCATAACAAAGATACAGAATTTCCGGAGAATGAGGCCCAGAAATCAGGATTTTAAAAAGATTCCCAGGTGATTCTAATGTGCAGCCAAGGTTGAGAACCACTGATTTAAAGGCTTGTATTCTTTCCGTCCTCCCAGAAAAAGACAGTGGTTAAGAGCATGGGCTTTGGAGTCAGACTATTTAGATTCAAATCGTGGCTCTGTTATTTCCTAACTATGCAAACAGGAATGCTATTAACCTCTCTGTGCTTTGGTGTCATTATCTGCAAAATGAGGATAATAGTACCTATGCCTCACAGAACTGACGTGACTGAACTAGCATACAGTGATGTTGTCATTATCATTCTTTTGCAGTATGCTACAACCATACTCTCCTTGAAAGCAGTGATTTCAATGGTCAAAACCCTAGTTTTCAATTCCTAGCAACGATTTTTCATAAATGAAAACCACCTGTATTATTTATTTCACACTCTATATTTTTGTCATGTTAAATTAAAGAAGGGAAGGAAGTTATGTATAATGATCGTAGGAATAATTTTGGGGAAATATCTTCTACATACAAGAAAAGTCTTCCTGCCAAGCCAATTAATCTTAGCCAATGATTTACAAAATTAAGAATCTTCTTTTCTCTTCTGTTAAAATCACATACCAGAGTAGGGAGTACCACTTTAGATGCAAGATGCCTGAGTTAATGGCCGTAATGCTGGCCAAAACTCAGATAAGTAAAAATGACCTGCTAAGGGAGCTACTGATGTAGGGATAGAAACTAATATTCAGAATATACTCCGTACATATCAAATGATCCTATCAGCTCTATGAAGCTTGTCTTATTACCACTTTTACAGATGAAGAAACTGAAAATCAAAGAGATTAAATACTTTGTTCATGGGTACACAGCTCATAAAATTCAAGTCAGGATTTGAAGTTGGGTCTATCTGACTTAAAAATCTTTGCTCTATATTTCTTTTCTTTTTTTTAATCCTCACCCAAGGATATGCTATTGTTTTTTAATTGATTTTAGAGAGAGAAGAGGGGCGAGGTGGGGGGAGGGGAGGCAGAGAGAGAGAGAGAGAGAGAGATCTCAATCGGTTGCCCTCCCGCACCCACCCCACCCGGGGATCGAACACGCAACCTAGGTATGTGCCATGATGGGGAATCAAACCTCTCAACCAATTGAGCCACCTGGTCAAGGCTCTATATTTCATTTTATCACAGTGCTTAAACAATTCATTAGACATTAGATTTCCTTTTCAACTTCTCTAAATGTCCTAGAATCCAATAATTCTTCATGATGCACCCTTTCTCAACTTTCTCGATTCTTTGGGGAGGGTTAGACAAGCCTCTTTTTTTGCCATTAAATTTAATTTCCTCCTTTCCAAAGAAGTTCATAGCTCTTCCTTGAAAAGTAAAAAATCATAAAATTTCCATCATTTAAGTACACTCCTTTATTGTCAATAAAAACTTATTTAATGTTAATATTAGTAATAACTATTAAGAAAGTTAAGAACCACAGAACTGGAAGAATGATTCTGAAGTCTTTCATTATAGACATTCAAATTCTTTTGTACTGTTTACTACTGTATTCTATAAGGTTCTTCTGTATAGAATTATATGGGCGATAAGACTAAAGTCAAACAACTAGTCCAAGAATCATAAGACAAAAAAAGGGCTCAGATTTTATAAAATAGTCTAAGAAAGAATACTAAATCATTTGATTTTTCTGAAACAATCTAATCGGAAAGCCCCATGCCTCACAAACAGGCGGGTACCAAGGCCTGCAGTAACAAAGGTACGGAATGCCATTCGATAAATGTAGCTCACCTTCTTTAAATATCAGTTACTGTTTTGGGGGGAAAATTATTTTTTAAAATTAAAACAAACATATGTGGAGAAAGAAAACTGCATGAAGGTTGCTTTAAGAAACAAAAAGCAGAAAAACTCAGAGCATATTTAATTAAGTAAATGAGAACATCTCAGAATCAGACATTCCAAAATCATATCATAACCTTCCTATTAATCCATGTTTTAATAAAGCCTACAGTATTACTTAAAGGATACCATGAAGTTAGCAAGCTCATAGCACAAGAGTAGCTTGCACCACCAGGAAAAAACTAGAGGGTAGGCAATAGCACAAATGGAATTTGTCTAGAAGACAGAGAAAATTCACTAGCTAATCTTCATAAACAGATAGAACACAGTATAGGACGTAGAGGCAAATCTTATTCTCAAACAATAATCTAACTCTGTTTCAAAAATGTCTTTCTTCTGGGGAGAAATATCATTACCCTTTGCAGGAGCAGAAATAAAGAAATAAAAAATAATTCAAGTTTTAAAAAGCCAATTATTTTATTTATAAAAGGCTTTTACTACTATCTTCTTTTCAAAATTTTACTTGCATTTGAAAAGCAACAAGCAGAAATTCTTAACAAATCTGAATGTAAAAACAATGGAATATTTTCCTAAAGAACAAAGTATAAGGTATACTTTCCTATAAGATTGCTGTATTTTTATTAGAATGTTTTGTTAACGTTATATTTAGTCCTATATATCACTGAATCTGCCTCTTCATTTAACAGAGATGTGGACATATTAATATGATTGTTCATTAATATGCATGTGCATAAACTTTTTGTCTTATCTAAGTAAAATATTTGAACTGACATTTTATGGCCTGTTATAATCCTAGATATCATTTAGACAGTCATCAATGTATGGCTATCTTTAAGGACCTAGTTCAACTTCCACACCTTCCAGGAGTCACAGGCTTCTTAAGTTCTTGGGCATTTAGGAATGTGCCAAATATTTTCCAACCCTGACCATAAGCTTCTAAGAGACAAAGTCAGGACTTGTACACAGGTCTCCTGATTCCAATTTTACTGCTCTTTTTGGGTTAGTACAGGATCTTAAAAGCTTCTACCCCAGCAGTGTGGGGCTATATTGCATCCTACACTTTTCTGTATGCCATAGGAGGGACACCAACTATAAAAGATGCTAATGTTCTCCGCAAAGCATAACTTAAACCAATAATTTATGTTGATAACATTTTTAACAAGGGGAGTTTGGGGAAAGGGGTGAAGATTGGACAATAACCTGTAAATTTAAAAGCAAACAAAAATCAAATGCTACCCAACCTTCAAAACATAGGACAAATACGTCCCCTCTCTTGACACCTTCCCACCACCTCTCAGTAACAACCATGTGCTCCCATTCCTAAAGCACTTTGTCCATACTAAGTACAGCTTGCCTCGCTATTTGTGGATACCCCTGTCTTCCCATTGTGACAGGAAGTTCCTGGAAGGCAGTATAAGCTCCAACACATTTAAAGGTAACTGCTTAAAGGCTTCAGCACCAAAAACACTCCTTCAATATAAAAAATACAAATATGAAGAATGAACACATGAATTAGCCATAACTGAGGACAAAGGAGGTCTCTCTTCACTCCCAGAGCAGCATCTAGATCAGTGGTTCTCAACCTTCCTAATGCCACGACCCTTTAATACAGTTGTGGTGACCCCCAATTTCATTGTTACAAATTGAACATAATTAAAGCATAGTGATTAATCAAAAAAACAATATGTAATTATATGTGTTTTCCGATGGTCTTCGGCGACCCCTGTGAAAGGGTCGTTCGACCCCCAAAGGGGTCACGACCCACAGGTTGAGAACCGCTGATCTAGATAATTCCACTGCTTACCTTTCATCTTTCAAACAATCAACCCTAGAAGATACCTACTAGGTCAGATATGCTACAGGAAGTAAATATACATCAGTTCCTATCCCAGACATGCTTAACAATCTAGCTGCAGGGATAAGACACACAGATAAAACCAAGGCCCAAGAACAAAGCTAGAAGTGGCAGAGATATAAATGGATATAGATTATTTCTTGGGAAGCATACTTCTATTTCAGAAAGGAAGAAAATGGCCTCTCAAAGTGTTTTCCTCTGTCCTTGCTCTAAGGGACATGAGGAAATACAGCACATTGAATGTTAAGTCTCTTTATAATCATCTGGAAACTGTGCTTTGATTCACTCAAGAAGGCTGTGGCATCAAAGAGCACTTCTCATTACTATCAATATGCCGCAGACCTCCTTAAAAACCTCTGTCATAAAAGAAGTCGGATGTGCCTCAGTCTAGTCCTGTGTGAATCCTCACTGGAGCTCCAGGCCCACATTCATGAAAGGCTTGTGGAAAGTTTCCTACGTGGACATCTCTCTACCTCAAACTCAATCTGCTCAAACCAAACTGCAAAATATATAATAATGGCAAATATTATTTACCGTTATTAAATTAAATAATAAAAAACTAGAGGAAGTAATAATAACATTAAAGTAGATAATAAGTGAAACATTAATTTTCATTAGTCACAATGTACAAACTCTTCCCTGCATCTACAGTCCCAGAATGAGTAAGCAGATTTTGTTAACTTCTTTGGACAGCCAAAGATTTGTTTGAACTGCTCAATAACATCTGGAGTTATTGGTGTACTTCCTAAGAAGTAGCACCAAAGAACACATTTGTTTTATATAATCAATCATATCTGGAAAATATCTCAAAATTGTATGTTCTGAATAATGCTGTGCTAGTGATATTATACACTTAAGAATGATTGAGCTAAATGTTTGGTGTCTTAAGAGGATTAAAAAATAACTATCTCCCCACCTCTTTTTTTGAGATGGTAGTCAAGTTTGCTTCCTGGATATTGATAGTTATGCCAAGAGGGTCTATAAAATAACAGGGTTCTGCCCAACACAAATTGTAGAAATAGAAAGAAACAGAATTTTGATTTTTAAATGAGTACTACCTATGAAAAACCAAATT